TTTCCTTGTGTATTTGATTGATCATTTCTATTGTTATGAGCTTGATCTGTGATGGATTTACGACGCGTAGGACTGTGATTGCCGGTTTTTTCCTGTTTGTTCGTATGTTCTTCTGATTTCGACTGTGGATGATTGCCAGTCTTTTCTGTCATTCCCGATGATTTTGTAATATTCTGTGTAGTTGAATGAGCAGTTCCTATCAGAGAGAGAAACTAAAAATCATGACTGCAAAACTACAAAAAAAACTTACCTATATTTGTATCCTGGGTAGATATATCTACGACATTATCTTGCTCCGTGTTTGGAAACATGGTTGGATCTCGTTGGCTTGCTGGTTTACCATGTGTTCGAAGATATTCTTCTGTATAATTTGCTTCTTCATGTACCGTTTCACTGTCTTTGTTTAGTTGAGTCTGTTCAGAAGGTTCCGTTTGAACAGAAGATAAGGAAGTCATTGTGTAGTTTTGTAATTTATTTCAAAATAACTAAATAATGAAAAATATGAGTTTAAAAGAAGTATTGCATGCATCTATATATATAGAGTAAAGAAAAAAGCGCAATTGTGGCATCACAAGGACACGTAAGAATTTTTCTCCCTGTTTATTTGCGTCGTAATAATGAATTGCGCGAGTTGCTTTTTTTACAAAAAGAACGCATAACAATGTTTCTCCCTGTTGATTTACGTCGTAAGAATAAATTGTTCGCATTCATTCTGTTTCAAAAAGAATGCGTAGAAGAGAAACAACCTTCAACACAATTCTTTTTTTTTTCTTTTTAACGAAGCTCGTGTGTATATGCGAGTTGGAGAGAACAACAGATTTCATTTATTGTGAATGTTCAATATACAAAATAATTGTTTTTTTCATCGACATCGATGAATTAATCGAGAATTTTTATCATTGATTGAAATAGATTCTTCTAGAGTGTGTGGCGCAGCCGAAAAAATATCACTGTAGTTAATTAGTCTTGTTCGACAAAAGCAGAAAAAATAAAGTCGCCGGTTATATATTTTTTCTTTTTCTTCATGCTATTAAATAATGCCGGCAATTGCTCGACACCAAATCAACATTTTTTTTGTATGCTCGATCAAAAGAGAATATTCCACTATGAAGTTAAGTATATTCTCTGACATTGTGGAGTAAATGTGTCCACATTGTCAAGAACCAAACTGAATTGAATATCTTGAGAGTGTGGGTGAAAGTATCAAATATAGCATATTTCGTTGGTGTAATTTGCAGGATTACACCTAAAAATATCGCATGACAGATGACACACGAAATATCATAATCGTTGAAATTAACAAAGCTACAAATTACACTTATTTTCAAATATTCAAGTGAAAGATGAGTGTGAACTCTACCGAATACGCAGTTGTACAATAACCTCTAGTTAAATGTTCGTTGTTAAATTTATGTTGTTAATTCTTTGTCATTGCTGAATAAATAAATAAATTGGAAGAGTGGGATGTCTATGAGGGTGTGGGTATCTGTTCTTCTGCTATCCACACCCACATTCTCAATAATGAAAACATCGCTCGAATCAAAAGCACAATTACATTATACGACGCTTTTAGAAATACGTTAAACAGAAGAAGCTCTGTTTTCGTAACTCTTTTCTTCCTATAGTTGACTCAATGTCAAAAGATAAAAATAAACATTTTCTAAGGTAAAAACCAAGTTTTATTAGAATAACATGTGACAAGGATGAAGGTGTGGGTGATCAAGACAGTAATCAGTCCCAAACTCACACCCTCCGGATGGTTGTTTTGCTTCGAAAACTAGTTTTGAGAAAAACACAAAATACATATCAGTTCAAAATATAACTTGCAATGAGCCGGATTATAGACATCGTGCATAGAATTTTCATCTGTACTAGGTACGTGAAAGCATGCTGACCATGTAACTTGTGTCATTTTCGCAAAATCCTTGCCGCTTTCCCGTATTGCTTTACCAAAATAAATTTATAGCTTGTAAATTATTCCATCATCGATGCAGATGATCTTTATATTCAATCTCTATTTATTTTTAAATTGTTTTCTTTTGATAGGTAAATCAGCATAGTTTCGATTGAGAAATATTAAAATCATTTTTTGTATCGCCGTCAACAATGTATGTTGTATAACGTAGGTTATGCTTTACGATTGATTGACGAAATCACTTACTGCAGTTCCTTCCATTTCACCGCTACTACCTTCGTAATTAGCTTCACAACCAGAATTGACATGTTTTTCGAGTAGTTTAGATTACATTTCACTATTAGACTTCTTCACAGCTAATAATTCAGTACATCTTGAGCAATGACGGTTCATTATTTCATAATCGAGAACTTTTGGCAGATCCACCGCACTAACAAGAGTTCCTACTCCATGTAAAGATGAATAACCTTGCGTTAGCCATGTACCATCGATAGACACAGTAACATCCTTACCTTTACGGTACGTACGTGCTTCGTTAGCAGCTACTTCTTGAATGGATGTAAATAGAAGATCTTCGTATCGTTTATAAGATTCAATGTGAACGGGTGGTAAAATATCCATAGGTCCAGATAAATTCTGAAGACCTCGACGTTGGCTATCGATAAGGAATCTAGGACACTTGCTCGCGGTACTTTTGCTCGTCGGACTTTTGCTCGCTAGAAACTTGCTCGTGGACACTTGCTCGCCGGATACATGCTCGTAGGACATTTGCTTGGCTCCATACAAAAACGGACACTTGCACGCCGGAGATTCGCTCGCGATACCACGTGCTCGTTAAATATTTATGCATTTTTTTTAATGAATATTTATCGTACCATGATCTGATTCAAATTTTAAAAAAGAAAAGAAAAGGTAAATCTGCAGAAAATCAGCATTATAGAAAGATAGAGAAAAGAAAATGACAAATTAAGAAAGAATAGATTTGATAAATATATAAAAGAGAAAAGAGCCTTTTCAAATATAATTATAACGTATAGAAAGATAAATACCGAGAAACAGTGACCTCTATTTCTACACTTTACTATTCATTTAATATTTAGAAGTTAGAAGTTAAAGTTGTGGTAAGAAATACTTATACATAAAAAGATTTATACATCGTTTCTTACATGCAACACAATTTTATCTAGTTGCCGTTGACATTTTATTATAATAATTAAAAAAAAATAAGAATAAGAATAAAGAAGGATTAGACATCCAAGAAAATGATTCAGTATATTTTAGCTCGTTAAACTATGAAAAAAAATTTACGAAGACTTAAGTGAAATGTTATTTGCCAATGATAAAATCTTTTCTAGATTTGTCATAGAAGATGCGTTCAACACATTTAAAATCCTTTTTTCACGTCTTTCTGCAACCAAATTTTTCGGTCTTCTAACACCAGCTTCAGCTTGATACAGTTGAGCTTCCACGTAAGATTGTTCCTTCTTTAATGATTCGAGAAATTTCCACATATTCGGATGTACACCATCAACAAGTGATGAGAAACGATTATTCCACCCTTCTATGATATTATTTGTACGGTGATAACCATTCATAGTACGTTCATGAACATTCCAAGACTGCAGGTCGAATTGGGGCTTTTTCCTTGATTGAGTTCCACGTTTTTTTTCGCCAATGTAACTTTCTTCGAAATAAGATAATATCAATTTTCCTTTCACCGGAAACTGTTCTTTTAATTTTTCAAAAGTATCAATAACTTCAGTAACCTTAAGAAAAGCCAAAGCAGGAATGGCTCGAATCTGTTGAGCAAAAATATCGTCGCTGGAATATTCAACTTTCAGCCCAAGACGAACGACAGCTCGGTACACCGATTGGCACAGGTGAAAAAAACATCCATTAATGTTTGCTCGTGGAAAAGCCGATCGTATACTTGACATAGCTGCCACTTCAAAGTCCATTGATACATTAGCAGGATCTAAATCTGGTTTCAAATCATGAATTGCATTAAACACTTGATCATAGGATTTTTTTGTTTTTCCTAAAAGAGAAAAATTAGTAACCATTATTAGAAATAAGTCCTTTTTACCTGGTAGTAAAGCGTAGATTACTGGACACACTGTATCCAGATAGTCACAATGGATGGTGTACAGCTGAAAAAATAAACAGGGTACCACAGAGAATGTACCATCAACAAATATGTTCGATGATCGCTTTAAGATTTTTAGCTGTTTTTTCGTAGAAAAAATTAAAATTCTTTTATTGTTTAATCCAGAATCATATTGAAGAAACGTTTTGTTCGATGTTGTTGTTGTTAAACTAGATGGAATAGATAATGTTTCAAGTGATAATGGTAATGGAATCGAATTCTGGGCCTTTTGCCGGATACGACGAACCGTTCTCTTGAGATTGTTTAGATCAGGTAATGAAGCAATTGCTTGACCAGATAAAGAACCAACACAACCAGCAATAATATCATGTGTTGATCGGTTTGATGATTTGCTTGCTTCACTCAGTTTAGCACGTGCATCCATTATTTTGATAGCATTGGCATTTGGTTCATGATTGTGTGTATCATTTTGCTCGTAACTTGATTGCCGAGGGTGTGCAGTCGACCTCTGCACTGACCATGTCTTTTACGATTGCAACACCAAATTATTTTATCATCCGATCGTTTCTCGATTGTGTACACATAGCCATCAACAATACAGGCAGGATTTCCTTGTGAAGTGGTTGTTGCGTGGTAAGCCATAGACATAGAAAAATCGAGTGACGAAAAAAAAAATATAAAGCGTAACTCGTAAAACGCACGATATTTATAGTACAAGAACAAAGAGTTTGTTGATATATATAATCACTGTATTTTATGGCTTCGAAGATGAACATATACATCAAGGCCTCGATTCACATTCAGAATTAGAGAGAACGTCCGAATAAAAGAAAAATTATTATCGAGATATATAAGGATGAGCATAAAGTATTCGGAAGGAAAGAACGAAGCATGAAAGTGACTCATATTAAACAGCGAGCAATATGTATGCGAGGGGTTGTCCGGCGAGAAACTGTCCTCTGCGAGCAAGTGTCCTATGCGAGCAAACGTCCATGACGAGCTAATGCTTGGCGAGCAAATGTCCAACGAGCAAGTTTCCAGCGAGCAACCCGCCGTAAACCATCGATAAGAGATCCAGCAAGAACATTTGTCATATTCCAGTCTGTCATTTGACAATTTGATGATGATAAAATTCGATTATCGGTAATAAAACGGATAGTATTTTCACAAGAGCACGTAGATGAGATATTACATATCGGTCAGTTCATCGAATTAACGAGAAATAAAATATTTTGAATATTTACAATAGGACTAATGTCAGAATTCTCGTCATCATCGTCGTCAGTTGATGAATCGAAAAGATGACGTCGATACGAAAAAATAAGTTCTTTTCTTATAGTAGAAGAAGTTGTTATTATTGGTATCGTCATAAGGGGCTTCTACTTTCGCTTTGTTCTTTTGATCTCGACCATTAGCACTAAATACAGTTTTGTTTTAGTTACTTGGAATCAACAGATGAATTTCGTCTACGGCAAATAAATCAAATCTTACTTACACTAAAACAAGCTTATAATCATTATTCTCAACAAGATATTTCGGAAAATACTTACAAATTTTTATCTTACTACCTGTTTGAACAACTAGTTGGAACATAATCAACTCGAGGAAGAAAAAGTGAGATTTATAAACTTCTATGATTAATTATTCAAGCAAATTGTGTATTATTGTTGTCGCAACTTGATGCATTTATTCTTACTTTTTATTATTATTCTTATTATTCGATAAAATATTACATTTTGATGTTATTCGAGTAGTTTACACTATTTCTCCTATTATAACTTATAATCATCGATTAGAAGGATGTTCTATCTCTTTTCTGTTACAACAATCTTCTGGATTCTTACAAGTATCGATCTGATTCTACGAATTTTCAAGTTTTTTACGTTTTCATTTTTAGTTATATCTTCGCGTGAACTCGAAAATCTAGTAATGCATTCAAAAAAGTATTGTATAAAAAGCTATTTTTTTATTTTAGATTTCTGAAAATACAAGACGAATAAATATCATTGACAATCAATTAGCTCAAGCGCAATCTAAATTATTAAATTCAAACCCTACGGATGATGCAAAACGAAACATCGAAAAAGATAAATACGCAGTAGAAAATAATAATTATGAGCAACAAATAAGTATGAAATCTCTTTGATTTAATATATTGAAGTATACAATAGGCTTCATGCAGATCCAGCTCATAGAATAAAACCAAATCAGATTAGGGAACGATTCGAAGAGATTTAAACAAAATAGTTAAAAATTTTCACATTATCAGAAATTTAAATTGAGATGGGATTACTTTATAAGTGTAGAACAAAAATAGAAAATTTTCCATTGATAGATTCGAAATGGTAGAAGCATGTATCGTTACTTATATCGTTGAAAACATCAATCGAACTCGGTAAATTGATAGACGTTATATGTCTTTGTTTTATATTAATTAAAAATCGTTGTTATTCTTTGCATTTTATGTAGTCGACGTTTCTTCTCTGATTGACTACATATTTCACAAACATTGCATTTTATATTTTTTAGTTCAAATAGACAATGAATAACAAAAAGAAGAAAAAAGAAGTCAATAAACAATATATTCTTTGGGTATGGGTGTGGGTGTGGATGGGTGTGAGTGTAGGGTGTGGATGTGGGTGTGGGTGTGGGTGCGGGTGTGGATGTGGATGATGGTTTGTGTGAATGGACGTGCGTACAAGTAATTTATTACATTCTTGCCTACACCTACGTCCGTACACCCTGATCAATTCCAATAATGAAAAATTTCTTGTCTTATTCAGTTGGAATGTCTGAGAAGTGAGATTTTATTATTCTTTTCGACAAAATGGAGAAAAAGAATAAGAGTATCTTAATTTAGTTCCGAAAGAGCGGAAATGTTAATATCAGTTCGATTCTGTCGTTCTTTTAAATAGTAGCACAAATATTATTGATATTGATTATCGGTGTTTGTGGTTGAGGTGAACTTTCGACAATGATTGTATCGATATTGGTCCAATTGAATGTTAATATCCATACGTTCGTATTGGTTAAGGTATACGTGGTATTATATACTATCATGCCTATGTCTGTTCCTATGAAATTGACATACACATTGCTACTGTAAACATAAACAACGAGAGTATTCAAGGTAAATGTTCCATTAATGTGGGTAAAATTTATTGAGTTGAGATTAGTGTTACAGGCATGTTGATCAGAATAAAAACTGCAAGCTTCCATATTAGACCATTGGAATCCTCCATAACCACTAGGAATGATAATCGATGTGGGAATATCATTGAATGTAACACCAATCTGACCAGGTGGACAAGCTAGAAATAGAAATGAATGAGATTTTATTGATAGAACAAGATTAGATCGATACTAACCAGAAATACATTGAGATCCATTCCATAACATGGAAGAATTGCATTGACACGTATTAGAAAAAGTCGAACATGTGAGATATTTTGATGAATCACACCATTCATCAGTTTGACATAATTGATTGAATGATCGCCAATATTCACATACATTTCCATCGAAGAAGTATTGATTTGGACATATCCATGTACTATTGACACACTGTAAATATCGATTGATACTGTTGAAAGATAGAATACATGGTTGAAGATATGACGTGTAGAAAACTGACTGTTGGATGATATAACCAACCTGAGATCTTGATGATGAATAAAAGGTACCTTCGAAACTCCATGAAGTAAAGAGAGAACATTGGTTGATCGAAAGATCGAAGTTGACTGTTCGACATGCAATATTTTTCACACATTGTGCGACACAACGCATAATAGTGTTGGCATCGTTTTCTGTAGTCAGAAGGTCACTCGGATCAGAAGCTATAAATTGGAAGCCGACAGGGGATGTTTCAAATTGAACTTTATCAATATTACCATGGATACCTGTTGAAAGAAGTACAATGAATATCGCAGCAAAATTCATGTCTTTCTTGCTCGTGAAAGGGAAATACAATAACAATTAATTGCCGATAAAGTTTACTCCTCACGAAGACTGTTTATTGACATTTTTCTCGGAGAACAACTTATTTGCTAAGTAAAATTATTTAAATGTTAAGTAAACTTTTACTAAGTAAAGTTTATATTTGCTAAGTAAAATTCATATTTGCTCAATAAATAATTTAAATATAAGTAGTGTAATTAGACGCTAAGTAAATTTAAAGTTTATCAGTAAAAAAAACTAACTGTTAAGTTAAAATTTTAATATTCGAGTAAATTATTTTTTCGCCAAGTTAATAAATTAAAATCATAGTAATAAACTACAATCGATCGGTAAAAAATTTCAATATTAAATAATTTATTATAAAGACGAAGTAATTCTCAAATGTCAAATCAAAGTTTCTATACTTCTATGATGACGTCTATATTTCCTGTCTCGTGGATGTAGGTTAGGGTTTTACGGGATTGCTCCGATCCCTTTATTTTCCCGAACCCGATCCCATCGGGATCGGGACCGGATGCAACTTTTCGGGACTTAGCTAATTATTCTATATTGAAATGGAACTCTTTTTCATATAAAACTGAATATAATATTTTGTAAAACTAAAACTAGAATGCACGTGTACACATGCTAAGAAAAACAATCTTCATAAGATAGATAAATAAGTAAGGTTCACGAAACAATATGTTTTGATTACTCTTAGAGCACATCTTCACTTCATGCAATGTTATTATTGTCAGTTCGTTGTTTTTTCGATACTGAAGGTGTCTGCTGTTCTCCATCATGTTCGTCATTCGACTTATATTCGTCTTTAAATATATTGTCCTCGATCATATGATTTATTTATTTCTTTTCTGTCCTTCATCACATTAATTTGTTTTTATTGATCTTGTCTTCGAGCTTTTTCTTTTCGCATTTGATGTACTGAAATGTTTTATCTATTTCGAATATGCATTCTCTTTTCGGCTTGATCGATTAGTTTGATATAGCATCTGACTGAAAGAACTCAGAATATCATAATATACGCTTGAACGTCCGCTTTTCATCAACAAATCGTAATACTATGAAATGCTATCGCGTTGCGTCTTATTCCACATAATTATGCGTTTAAAAAGTATTTCTGGTAGATCCACAAAATCGGGTTTAAACAAGACCGGGACGCGTTTCCCTGTTAGAAAGTGGGCCAGGATCGAGATTTCGAAAGAGTATTTTACAGGGACCGGGACGGAAAAAAACGATCCCGCAGGAGCCTAATGTAGGTGCTGGTGAGGATGTGGATGGGAGTATGAATGTAGGTGTGGGTATAAGTACCATATTTATATCAGACCCACACCCTCAAGATTTCTACTGAAGCTCTCACTGAAAACCATCTATAAACGCAAGAATTTGTTACTAGTATGCGTCCAATACCTCAATATTTGAACAAACAAAAGGATAATTGACACATTCATTCTTTTCTTGTACCCTCTAATTTAAAGAATATATAGTTGTGGTTCTTTGTCACTAAACAACAGATGATTCATGACGTTTTCAATGTCTATGAAATCATAGTACTCAATATGGGCTAAAAACATGTGACTATTTATGCGTACTGCATGATTTCATACAATAGGTTTGACTTTTATGCTTGCTTTAGCTAAAATTTATGATATTGTGGTGAATTTATTTTAAGAGTGACGTGCTCTTTGTTAAGAATATCACCGAAAGATATTGATGATCATACATAATTGAGAGTAGGGGATGAAATTGGTGCGGGTTGATCGTCTGATAAGACATACTCATATCCTCATACAAATTCAAACTCATTCAATCACACCCTCACTCTGTAAATTAAATAGAGACGTTTACAAATTTTATTAATTAAAACTGGTGCTTTAACAAAGTTCATGAATTAAATTAGATTGAATTGATTATTTCTTCTTTCTGTGAATTGCCCAGTTTGCTTCTATAGTCCTATACAATGCCCAAAAACGCACCCTGATAATGGGCAACACGTACCAGAGCCACTGCATGAAGAACCCAGTGGAATGCAGGCTAGTTTTATAAAAAAAGAAAAACATGTAAAATAAATTCTTTGAAAATGCAACAAATCTAGTCGTCAAAGCGCAATATGTTTTCATCTTCTTATAACATAACTAAGTAACGTGATCATTCATAAGGCAACTGTAGGACACTACAACCAAAGAGAATACAGTTCGAGAGAAAAATATACGAAGATCACGACCTTGCAGTATGCTACATATAAACAAAGTAAATGTATACCTGTTAATAGAAAATGCACTCTCACCATATCATACTTATTTTACCGTCTCAAGATCATAGTATCATTCCAAAGAAGCAGTAAGATTTGAAATTTTTGCAAATATATATCCCTCATCTTGAGCTTTCTAATCCAGCTACACAAAATGGTATCATCTTGGGTCTGTTTTCATTTAGAATATTAGGAATATGTAGGTGTAGGAAAAAACTCGTTCTCAGTCATATCTTCAAAGTTGCTACTATTTCTCTAACCTGTAGTCGTAGTTGTTGTGGTACTCCTTGTTGTTGTTGTTGTTCTTGTTGTAGTGGTACTGGTTGTTGTTGTTGTTGTAGTAGTACTTGTTGTTGTGGTTGTAGTCGTGGTACTACTC